GGGGGGACCGTGGAAGGTTGTCAACTCAGATTAAGAAACAATACATGAAGTGTCGAGAGAGACAATTTTGAAAAATGAGGTGAAATGGATCCAGTTGTCACGATCAGTGATCATTTTGTATCAACGTATATAAGTAAGTATCTAATGTTGAATTTTTACGAGATTGATGATATGCAGAATGAGCAAGAGTTCATGAGGATAATTAAATACCTAAGATGCTATATGGTTAGTCCTGTGATTTTGTATTTGTATATAATAAATGAATATCTAGTTTAATCAAGGAACGATGAAGAGACGTGTGAAATGAGGTTGTTACTTAATAAAAACTCAATGAAAATAACTATGATTTAAAAATTCTTTTCGTGTTTTCAAGTTTCACTGCTAACTCAAGAAATAATAGCCTTCATAGTTTTCTAACATTACTTTGGGGATAATTTCATAATAATGAAACTTTTAATTCAAAAACTAATCATAGCGTTTCATTTCAGTTCCTCCCACGTTTAAGATAAGTTTATACAAAGTGAAGGCTAGAACATAGCTTGTTCTATGATCTAAGTCTTTGCTTTGTTAACAAGAATGAATTCTTATTGTTCAGGGAAAACATCAATACGTAGCATGTGTAGCATGGGTGACATCATTCATTAGAATTTGTGTTTGATATACATGTTATTGGCAAGTCTTAGAGATTAAATTTTTGATATTAATAGATATATAGTACATGTGATAGCTGAAAGTCCAGCTAATTAACTGTCCATGGATCCGTGGAAAAGAATTAGTGATGGGATTGATAAAGTGACTGATCCATTTACCTGGATCATATTGCTTGATTAGAGAGAATTGTTGGGATGGATATGTGTAAACATAAACGATGTGGCATAGTTTAAAGCGATTAGGAAAACCCGAGTTAAAAATAATAATAACATTCAGTTGAGACGGGTATACGATGCCCTCATGAACATATCCCTAACCATTATAGAATTCTATGTTAACTTCTCTTTAGTTTTAGTTATTTGCTCCAATTAAGTTAGGTGGGACTAAAAGGGTGAGAGAACATATTGATTTGGCCTCTTTTGGCTCCTGCTGTTGTTTCCTTGGCTAATATAATCAAGGATCAACAAATCTTACGCTACGTATAATTTTAGTAATAATCATCATCATAGATCAATCCCTTGAGAAATTAAGAACTTTTCATGTACAGTAACTAGTCATGGCACTCTCTACAAGCTTGTATAAATAGCCAAAGGAATAGACATAGAGAGGTGTTAGTGTTTATGACGGTGACAATGAGAGACTCTATTCATTGATGCAAATCAACCACCATACTGATGTGAAGATTAACGCGACTGTTGCTTGGATGGATCGCAAGCTAAAAACGAAAGTAATGTGCAAATCAATTGAAAAAAGACCCTCAATGACTATTGTAAAGCAGAAATGATTATACTTAGCTTTAAGGGGGAGCGATGGAGTGGCATTCGGGGCCTACCATGAGATTAAGAAAACCTAATTAG